TTGCCTGAAATGCTGGTTCCAAGAATGCACCCAAACACTATTACATCACGTTTGATACACAGCAATGAAGTAACACATGTGCCCATTCATTTCAAGTTTGCAATGAAGTCACAGATATGCCCATTGAAGAAAGCCAGGCCATCAACAAAATAAACCTAGAAGATCAAAGTAGTGGTAGATTGTCAGGCAAATTCACTTTAGTGTCTATTCTCTGGCCTCTTAACTTTATTTTCCTCCAGGCCCAGTTTTGTGTAGCCCTAGAAACAAATAGGCATGAGCATGAAATGTGACTACATCCAAAAAACAATTGCAGGGCTGGAAACTTACACCAAACTTGGCTTTTAAAAGCTTATAGAATGCAAGAGTAGGGGAACGCTGGGAGACAATACGTCCACAGCCTTGAGATCCTGGGAAAAAATGACTGAGTAAGAGAGAGAATAATATTTTGGTTTCAATATACTGAATATGTAGAAAGGAGGAAATGTGCGTAAGACAATTTTGGGAACATTAGAAAGAATAAGGGAGGAAATTCAGGAGGATCTATCATAAACAGCTTATGTGTCATGCGAAAACCACATGAACAGAAAGAATTAAAAGGACCCTTAATTACATAATTAGTCACCAATAAAAATGATTGGTTGTTAATTACATAATTAAAAAACATTCCAACTGTTAATTACATAATTCACGAGGCTTGCAATTCCATGCTTATACATGGTGCATAATAGTCTTCATTATCAACGAAACAGAAAAACAATCAGACCCCATTAAAACACTCACAACATGGTTCCAGTTATATCGTGGGTGGACTGTGGGTGTACCAGTGGACCAGAAGTGAAGCACATACCCAACAATGACTGGCCAGGTTCCTGGGCACTAATGGATGTCAGCAGCACTCACTGCACATCAAGAGCAGAAAGAGATTTCAACGGTGACCATTTTCCTATCGCTCCACAATATAACACAGGGTCCAACTGTATTGGGGCGGGGGTAGTTCAAAGAATATTGAATCCAACGATGAGAGAAAGTTGAGCAACCAGACCTTTTCTCGTATTCAGGAATGCACAAGATGTTGGAGCAGCCTCCCAAGATACTCAAACCTTAAAATTAACTTGGATTTTATGGAGAATTGTATTATTACAGAAAATATGTTTGGTACAAGTGAAGACAGAGATTCGTTGAGGTGACCATAACCATGGTCGAAGAGGAAGGTTTTCATGCATAATCTGAAAATGAGGAAGGAGGGGACATGGAGGAAGGATTAAGGGAGAGAGTTTGGAAGTTTCGAACCTGGTGGCTGAAAACACAGGTGCCGATGGGGAGCGAAGGGACGAGGCCAGAGCCAGATGAGTGGAAACGGCAGGTGGCAGTGTGGGGAGCAAGCAGGTCGGAGAGGTAGGGAAGTGACTTGGAGGGTTTCGTAGACGAGTGTGAGGATCTTGAAGTCAATCCGTTCCATGATAAGGAGTTATAAGCGCTATATAAATGCAAGTTGTTGTAGTGGAGCATGGCAAGGACTGGTGTGATGGGAATACGGTGTTTAGAGTGAGTGAGTATATGGGTGGCAGAGTTTTGAATTGGTTGGATTTTGTGGATCGTGGAGCTGGGGAGACCAGCAAAGAGAGCTTTGGAATAGCTGAGTGTATGGTAATGAAAATAATGGTTCCTCAGTGTTAAGGACATGGCAGAGTTAAAAAGAACTGCAAGGCTCCCTGCTCTTGATCTCTCTCCAATGACGTGTGCAGGAAACTGTCTATTTAGACAGAATAAGTCTCAATTGTTCCACAGTCCAAGGCCAATCTACCTTCCAATATCTAGGCTCACACTTTAAACACTTGGGCAAGGTAACACAGGTTGCCTGGTGCTCATGGAACTATACCAAGCAAGAGCCACTGTCTTCAGAGGGGAGGGAAAATAAACACATTTCTGCACAGTATTTTACAAACTGGTAAATGATAACAATTTTTGTTCATCTCCAACCATTAAAATCAAATTTTCCCACACAAGTCCACAATGTTCAGCATTTTATGCATCATGCACCAGTTTATCTGCGTGTTCTAAAGGATGATAAAACCTAACTGGATCAGGGTATTCATCTCTCACACTAAGGACTTCAGAGCAAAAGAAACTGAGCAAATGTAATTCGCAATTCTTCATGATTCACTTAGATTCATTCCATTTTGTGAAAGGCCATTAGCAACAAATGAAGGTCAGTCTCCTCTTTTATTTCATCTAATTGACTGCCAACATCTTCCATGCGGTCACCCAGGCTCCAAACAGCTCTTAAAGTGGCCTATTAAAAACAACCAACAATCAAGCTACATCTAATGTCACTATCAGCCTTGATCAGAGGGTTCCATTTCCATTTTTTAAAAAAATTGGGGGGGAGGAAATATGAAGCACCATCTGCACTTCAGATTGATTATTCAGCAATCCTTATCTACATCTTCACCCAGTAATTTGAATTTTAATCAAAGCAAATGAAATAATTAGCATTTCAAAGTGCTTTTGATACACCGAACAAAAGGAAAACTGCTTCACAGACAACACAAAGAGAAGAAAAAAATTAAAACTAAAGCTATATAGCAAGTTAATTAAAATAAAATTTCAAAACATAATTGCCAGAACCAGCTGTACAGTTATATGTGAAGGAGATGTTGTTGAGATAAAATGATTTCTCACCTTTAATTTTATCCTAATGTGAATTACCACCTCTTCAAAATGCTGCCTAGATCACTAGATTTCATACACGTCCAGATTAAAATATAGAAATACCATTAAGGCCATGTTGTCCCAGGCAAATTAAGGAGTAGATGAAAGAGGGGGAAAAGGCTACTCTAACCTTTTTATTTATTAGTAGGCAATAGCCCCAAATAAATGCTATATTACAACAATTAAATCATATACTGTACTCTTAAAAGGCTTTCAAAATTATTCAAATCTTATGTTTTATCTTTAAAGATTTGGCAGATATAAAATTCAGCTTTGAATAGAAATTGTGTTATTCACAGCCACAAAAAATAAAAACTCCTACATCAGGCATGACTTCAATCCCAAAAAGTGAAATATTATGTAAACGTTCAAAACCGAGCACCTAGTTAAAGATAATACTGAATATTAAGATTCTAATGTCTGAGCTTCTGGTCAAGTTAAATAACACATCTCATTATCAATCCCTCTTCTTCCCCCCCCCTCCCCCAACAACCAACTTAACCATTGAATGTGTTGAATGGTTAAGGTTTTTTTTGTTCTAAAGTCATCAATGGTGAGATTTGTTGGTTTGATTGGGATAGGGCAGAGATGACAGCAAGACAGTACTCACTGATAGGATCCAATGAGCACAACAGTGTGAGGCAACTGACTTAATATAAATTTCTGAAATAGCAAGATTGCATTAAAGTACCCTGAAGTTAATGAATCTCTTTGTAAGTAATTTCAACTCCCTCAGATTATCCGGCTCAGTAAAATCACTCCCCAACATCATCTGCACTTGCCACATACACAACAAATTAAAAGTTTAAGTATTCTTTTCTAAAAATTCTTTCAACTTTGTTGTGAATAGAATACAGATGATCATTCTCTCTCTTAATCACCCTACTAATGATAGCCATTTATCACAATATGACAAGACTTCTCCAGTTACCATACTTGTCATTTTAAAGTCTTTTCAAAAATACTAGTTCCTCAACATTTCTCATCAGTCATCTTCAGAAAACCCAACAACCCCGAGTCACTTGGATCTCTCCAGAGACCAAAAGACTTTTGATATTACTGACAGCTATGCAAGACTGATGTAACAACTCCATAACAAGTTGAATTGTAAATTAGGAAATTCTCATTTCTGAGCATTTAGTAATGTCTGGAATAGGAATAAGACTGACTGTACTGCTGAAAACACTGCCTATCACAGTACTAGCTGGTTGCAAACCCCCTTTGCACCAAAGCAACCAACTACATGGCAACTACAGCAGTCACAGTGTATAAAGTTAAGTGGTTACAAAACTATTTCAGCTATGATTCTATACAATTAGTAAATCATTATGTAATCCTGCATGAGTGATATGGCCAAATTTACTTATGCAGGGTTCCAATTTGCATCAATTCTTAATAGGATTCCTTAAAAAGTTATTGTGTGGACAATCTCTGCTCCAGATGTAGATAGCATTGGGGTTGTGTACTTCCAGCCCAGATACAGAAAAAAAACTAATTTGCATGACACAATTCCTCATTAAGAACTACAGCAAATTAGACTCCACTCTAATAAGAACAGTTTTCATTTAAGATGAGAAATAAATTCAGATTACATTTTTGTATTCTGTATATGGACTTAATTGTACCAATAAGGAAACAATTGGGGAAAAAAAACGTTATTAACAGAACCTGTGTTTATTTTTGGCCACTCAGGAAAGATAATTTTGTCTCTTGGCCTTTAACTCAGTTGAAGTTACGATGCTTTAAAGCATTGAACATTCTACACACATGAATAAGATAACTGCAGAGTATCCAATGGGTTATATCGTCTTCTAAACTTTTAAATTTTCTTTGTGAATAGGTTGGGCATTCCTAAAAATTATAGCACACCTAGTAATGGCTAGATTGAATTGAGCAAGTAACTTATGCCTGTGTTTTTAACTTCTAATTGAAAGGAAAACGTACCAAATACCTAAATATGGACACATTGAAACTTTCTGCACAGAAAGGGGGCCATTTGTCCCATTGTGTCTGTGCCATTACTACGGTTTTCCCTAAATTGCATTTTTGGAAAAAAAATATCAAATTTCCAGCTCTTTCCCCAGATCCCTTCATGTTTTTGCTGATTAGGTGCTTGTCCAGTTCCCTTTTGAAAAATACCATTAACCTAGCTTTAATAGCCATTTATGGTAATGAATTACTACATGTGATCTCCTTCATGTTAAGTGTTAAGCTGGCTCCGGCAGTGGTAAGGAGAATAATAAAATGGGTATACACACTGTAAGGGGCAGACTTTGAAGACCACGTACCCCGATGATGGCGTTTAGCTCAGCCATGGTCACCTGCTTGGCCCGTTCCACTGCCTGCACCACTTGCTGTTGGTGCTGAAAGCGAATTTCAGAAAGCAAATAATGTCAGTGTCATTTGCATTCTGTAGAAATACGTCCTTCTTAAACCTAGCAAGTGAAAAACTTATTGGTCAGTGCTGTGTCTAACCTTCACAGAACATATTTAACTGCTCAATCCAATCCCTTTTCTAAAGTGTTTATTGCAAATTGCAACCTGAAGCCTGAATGGGTTAGTCCTCGACGATGAACAGAATATTGCAGATGAGGTAATATACAGTCACCTGTCATCTCTTGCTGAAAAAACTGATAAGGATAGGGGAATATATATGTATTGTACAAGTTGCAAAGCCCAGAGAATACAGAAAAATTATAGGCTAAAGTTTTTTAAAAAGTTGGGAGTAAAATTCTGGTGACATTTTTCAAAAGTAGCATCACAACCAGGTAGGCACAAGAAACAAACACATTTTTGTAATTTAATTTATGTTAAAAAAAGACACCCGCTCAGCAATAAGTTTCAGTTTCCAGAGTTGTACAAGTGTCCAATGTACATTTACCACCTGAACAAAATTCAAAAACTGTGCTTCATGCGTTTGCATTAAATGGAGTTTAAATACAAACCCAAAAGGTTTGTATCAACCTCAATCAGTAAGATTTAACAGCCCAATAAGACACGACCAAATTGTTGAGAATCTCTACAATATTTCTCAAAAGGCATTTCCCCACCACATTCATCAAGATCTAATGGCAACAATCTTCTGAGAGAACCTAATAAAAGACCGGAGAAATCTTTCAGGGTGCAAATCGTGAATTGTATTATAATGCTAATTAGCAATGTGCTTAAGTCCTCTAGCACCATGTATTTGCGGAACTGACATACATGAAGTCACAGTAGAATAAAATGCAGATGGAGGTTTCTATAATTTAATATATTTGACAAGATGTGCCATTTTGCTCTTAAGCACTGATTGCCTTCTCGTGTGCAGAAAACATACCCTATGTAATACCTGCTGGCTATTTTCCATTAATTAAGACATTTTGTTTCTCTAGCTAATTTTCTCCCCTCCCTCCTGAAGGCATTTTACATTTTTCCCCTTTTACAGCTAATGTTCCAAATGCACTGGTTACCCTTCAGTAACTCAGCTAAGTGATCATTATTCATGTGTGCATCTTGACCACAAGCATTGGCAAGTTATCCAACCACAGAAGAGGCATCAACAGCTAAATGCGATATTGTTCTCGCCAGAAGTCCTCACGTGCATTTTCCAATAGGGATCACCGCTTAGTGCTCAGGTGCAGGAACCTTGGTCAATTTTCTTTTAGTGCAAGTCAATATACCCAACTACTGCATGTGTCAAGTCAGCAAACTGGAATTTGAACCTGTAACCTTCTGGTCTGTGTGGCCTAGCTTTAATATTGCAGTGACTTTACCCATCCAAGCCATTAAGAAACCTAAAGCAAATGTTTTAATTAAAGAGTAACGCGTTATAATTGGCCTGTGACAGTGGAGTCCTGTAGCTCAGTGGTTAGAGCACTCGCCTCGCAAGCAAGAGGACCTGGGTTTGATTCCCGGCAGGGCAAAACATTGAGCAACTTTCCTTACTCCATACGCCTCTGTTTACCTAGCAGTAATAGGAACCCAGGTGTTAGTCGATTGGTGGACCGCTTTTCCCGGGGATAACAATTCCTTCAAAATAATGAAATAAATTTGGTCACTCAATCCACGGCTGTTTGTGGGACACTGCTGTGCACAATTGGCTGCCGGGTTTGGCCCACAAAATACACGGTCAATTCACTTTACAGTGTATTCTGTGAACCGCTTTGAAACATCTCGAAGACATGATAAAAGCACTATCAAATGCAAGGATTATTATTATGACATACCTAGAGAGATAAGGAGCAGGTCAGATTCAGTTGTTTTTCTACCCTCCCCTCACACACTTTTGTGCCAAAGTTGAAAACCTGCCAAACTCTCAGCCTTCTCTGCCTTTAACTTCATTCATCAAAATGGCCTTTTATGAAAGTACCAGAGAGACCACCCTTCTTCTAAATGAGGAAGGGGATAACACCAGGAAGGAAACAGAAGGAAAAAAGTGGAGAAGATTTGTGTCTAAGATTCCATACACAAATTATACACATTTTGTCCAGCAACGTGCATTGCAAAGAGAGAGCTTTGAAAGAGCCAAAATAATCTCTTCTTGTTCTTCAAATGGATATTCTAACAAATGGCAGGAAATGGATTATAAGCATCATTCATGTAAAAAAAATATTTCTGGACTGCATCCATATCTAATTCACCCCTGACCGTCCACAGCCATGTGATACATGAAGTTTACAATGTTATAGAAGTGCTGACCCCATCTGGGAGAGAATTCTTTTGCCTCAGTTCTAATTCCCAATATTGTGAGATAACGTTGCAAGGAAAAGGCGCCAAGAAAACATTCCCAAAGGCAAGCAAGTAGCGCAGAACTAAGATCAAAAACGAGTACAATAAAAAAACTTTTTTTTTTTAAAAACTTACCTCCTGAGACAGGAAGGGAATGACTTGGGCACAAATGGCATTTAGCCTCTTGACAATTTCAGCCTGAAAGACAAAAGAACCACCATATATTTTGTAATTCGTGAAATATACAGAGTGACTCAGTATGTACATAAGCGATGATAGGGAACCATGTTATTTCAGGGGGAAAAAAACTACAATATCTGCAGAAAAAAGAGAAGAAAAGGTTGAAAAGTTTTGCTAAATACTGTAGCAAAGGACCATTAAAGTCAGTTTTTATGCACAAAATAATATCCCATTTTTTTCAGGATCCATTTTTGTCAAAATTTACAAAACACCTCATCTTCGTGTGCGTCACACACACAGCAGTCAAATCGTGTTTCAAAATAATAAAAATGTTTTAATGGTCCTTAAACCCAAGATTAAACATGCACGTATGTAGGATATAATTGATACACAAGTGCAAATCCTCTCTAGTGATGCACATTTCCTATTAAGAGCTGTACAACAAGGACACGAAGAGTATTCTTTGATTTGTGGTAAAAATTACCAACTCTGTTATATCTGCTTAAAATGAAAAATCCTATTTGCCCTGCATAAAACAATCAGCTGAACAGATACATCACAGAAGTTGGAAATGCATAATATTCATGAGCATTTTTGATCTGGAGATCTGGAATTTGCCATTCAGATCTGCTAATTTCAGTTTCATCGCGTGTAATCATATATTCAGGTGAAAAAATGCTTTTGGGCTTCAAAAGTCGTAATGAGTTATTTCTGCAGTCATGTATAGCAAATGATCAGATTTTAAATTAAATATTAAATTCAAAAGTTACAGACTGCATAATTTCTATTACTACTTCAGAGCAATTGAGGTTATTCTGATGATTATTTCAGGTCAAACGGTATCTAATCCAATAATGGCAGCAATCCGAACAGAGTAGCGAAGAGAAAGGAAAAAAAAAAAGAACATTTTACAGGAAGATTTAACCCCACTGAAAGGGACTGGTTTCAGAAAACTTATGAACCACAGCAGTAACCAAATAACGATGGTAACCAAACCAGCATCAACACTGCTGGATTTTGAGATAAATCCCATAAGTCATTTAAAGTGACTTTTCTACATTAATGCAAGAGCCAACCCAACTATATGATGGCAAATTAATACCAATAACAACAACAGAATGCATTTATATAGTGCCTTTCACCTCAGCCCAGTCACTTACATACCCTGTTGATCTCACATGACCAAGGCTCTCCTGCTTAGCTCCCATCAGCACCTCCCTATCTTGGGCACTGATAGCATCACCCTTCATGGATGCACTCACAGAGTCAATACGGAACCTCAGTGTTCTGTTCGACCCCCAAGTATCCTTCATCCCCCATAGCCGTGCCATGATCCGCTCCACCTTTCCACACCTCTGCAACATTGCCCTGCTCCGCCATTGTCTCACCGCAGGCCACTGAGACCCTCATCCACACGTTCATCCCACCCAAGCTCAATCACACAAACTCCTATCTTGTCGGCCTCCCCAACCCCTCCCTCCATAGGCTGCAGATCATCTAGAACTCTGCAGCCCGTGCCTTCTCCAGCATCAGGCTGCATGACCCTATCACCTCCATCCTCGCCCGACTCCACTGGCTCCCCATCACACAAAGGATACAGTTTAAGATCCTGGTCCTCTTCAAAGGTCTCCATGAATTTGCTCTTCATACTTCTGTAACCTCCTATCCCCTACCAACCTGTCCTCTTCCCTCCGCTCAGCGGGCTCCAGCCTGCTTCACGTCCCCCGCCTTGCCCGCCCTACCATTGGCGGGTGGGCCTTCAGCCTCTCTATCTCCACTCTCTGGAACTCCAAGCTTCAGTCCCTCTGCCTCGCCGCCTCCCTTGCCTCCTTCATGACCCACCTCGTGGCCCTCCTCTTCAACCGGGCCTTCGGTCACCCTCCTACGCCCACCCTCCCCGTCTTCCAAATCACTACCACCAGCTCGGGTGGGGATCCTGACTGTCCAGTGCCTTGGGACATCCTCCTGATGTGAAAGGCGTTATACAAATGTAATTTGTCGTTATCCACAACTCGACCCAATAGCATCACCGGCAAATTTAACAATCGGCCACTGAGTTCGTAAATCAGTGAGCACAACTCCAACCAGAGAACTTAGGAACATGGGAAAAGCGCTTCAAACTTTTTCTACCATTCTATTACATCGTGGCTGATCTGTACTTCAGCTCCAATTACCCGCCTTTGCCCCAAGTTGCCCTAACATCATACCATGAAGATCCACCATCCACAACAACAACAACAACAAGATTCCATTTATAAAGCGCCTTTCACGTCAGGAGGACGTCCCAAGGCGCTGCACAGTTGGGTCATGACCCGAGCAGGGGGAAATGGTCAGGGTGAGGGGAGGGAAGGGAGGGAGCGAGGAGGGGGAAATGGTCAGGGTGAGGGGAGGGAAGGGAGGGAGCGAGGAGGGGGAAGAGAGTCGAGAGGGGAGCTGAAGGCTCGGTCAAAGAGAAAGGTTTTGAGACCGGCCTTGAAGGAGGAAAGGGAGGAAGCAAGGCGAAGGCACTGGGGGATAGATAAACCCCAGATCATACACAACTCTGCAACTCATATCCTGTCCCACATCAGGCTCCACGAGCCCATTGCCCAGCTGCACTGACTCCCTATCTCCCAGCAGACCTTTTTTGAGATTCTCATCCTCATTGTCAAATGGCTCCACGACCTGATCTCTTGCGACCCTAATCCTCGTGCCACTCCTTCTGCTCACACTTGCTTCATGACCCCCCACCCTCCCCACTTCCAACAATGACAGGAGAGGCTCCAGCCACTTTCCTACTCCCTCTGGAACTCTCGCCTGAAATTACTCTGTCTCGCCCCTTCCCCTCAGCTCCCAAATCCCCATTCCCCATCTCGGGGTAACTTCCATCAAGGCGTTTTGAGAATTTCTCCCAATGGGAAAGACACTTTATAAGTCTAAATTGTTGTTGAATGTTTCCAGAATTAAGGCTATACCCTAGTCCGTGTTCTGTCTGGTGAACTGGCCTGACTATTTGGGGATTTAGTTATTCTTTTTGCTGTCCATGTGGCTAATTTGATTTTATTTTGTAGTTGTGCAGTTTCATACTACAATGCAAGGATTTTAACAAACTGAGGCAACAGATTCCTCCTGTAAAGCAGGGTGAAATGTAGAGCTACATGTACATTCCCACAATTTTTTTTAAAAATGCATTATTTCCCCACTGCCCCATTGTCACTTTGATGGTGTACTGTTATTCCAGTTTCAAACACAAAATATATTTTATTTGCCAACATCTGTGTCTTTACTGTAAACAATTAGGCATGTGTTCACAAACTAATGTGAAACAGGTCAAATAACAAAAAAAAGCAACATCAACAATTTCCGCTCCAAATCTTGAGGCTCACTACAAATAATCAATTAATGCCAAATTCTGGTAAGTAAAGCAAATACTTTACATTTATCGAAGGAAACGTTTTTAAAATAATAATACTTGCATTTGATATAGCGCCTTATCACCTCTTTGAGACGTCTAAAAGCGCTTCATAGAATATACTGTCAAGTGAATTAACTGTATATTTTGTTGGCAAAACACAGCAGCCAATTGCGCACAGCAGTGTCCCACAAACAGTCATGGATTGAGTGACCAAATTATTATTAATTTTAATTTTTTTTTAAAGGATTATTACTCGGGAAAAGCAATCCACCAATCAACTAATAACTGGGTTCCTGCTTACTGCTAGGTAAACAGAGGTGTGTGGAGTAAAGAAACAAGCCCAACGTTTCGCCCTGCCTGGGAATCGAACCCAGATCCTCTTGTTTATGAGGCGAGTGCTCTACAACACAAAGACAACAATTTGCATTTATATAGCACCCTCCACACCGGGTGGCGTCTCAGAGCGCCTAACAATGGCGGAGCCCGAGGCCGAGCCAGGGGGAGGGGAACATCAACATAGACCATAGGCGCTGTCAAAGAGGAACATCTTCAGGTATGACCTGAAGATGGGGAAGGAGGGGGGCGAGGTGAAGGGGTTGAGGGAGTGAGTTCCAAAGTTTCGGGGCGTAGTGGCTGAAGGCACAGCCACCGATGGTAGAGCGGAGGATTCGGGGGACACGAAGGAGGCCGGGCCCAGTAGAGCGGAGGCAGCAGGTCCTGCTGTGGGGAGAGAGGTTAGAGAGATTGTATGGGGGCAAGGAATGGAGGGATTTAAACACTAGAGTGAGGATCTTGAAGTCAATCCGCTCTGTGACAGGAAGCCAGTGGAGTTTGGCAAGGACTGGAGTAATTGGGGTATGAAGTTTGGTGCGGATGAGAATGCGGGCGGCGGAGCTTTGAATGAGCTGAATTTTGTGAATAGTGGAGGAGGAGAGACTGGGCGTTAGAATAGTCCAGTCAAGAGGTGACAAAGGCAAGGACAAGGGTGTCGGCAGCTTTTGGAGAGAGGTATTGTCGGAGATGGGCAATGTGGCGGAGGTGGAAGAAGGCGGTGCTGGTCAGGAACCTGATGTAGGGGAGGAAGGATAAGCGGGGATCGAACCTGACGACTAAGTTGTGCACGGGCTCAGAGAGTTTTAAGGACAGGTCAGGGTAGGTTGAGGAGGTTGGAACCATGGGACAGAAGATGTCAGCGGAAGCCAAAGAGTATGGCTTCCATCTTATTGATGTTTAACTGCAGGAAATTTGTGCTCATCCAGCTCTTGATGTCTGACAGACAAGCTGACAGAACATCAGGGGACTGGGGGTCGCAGCTGGAGGTGGAACAGTAGAGTCGAGTGGCAGTTAACCCCGTCTGCGGATGACATCACCAAGAGGGAGCATAAAGATGAGGAAGAGAAGGGGGCCAAGGATGGATCCTTGGGGTACCCTGCAGGTGTAAGCGAGAAGAAAAGCCATTTGCAGAAATGTAGTGCTGGGGGTTTGTAAGTGCGGTCCCCAATGAGGCAGATGATGGAGGTCAGGCGGTGGAGGAGGATGGCGTGATCGAATGCAGTGAAGAGGTCCAGAAAGACAAGGTGACAGAGGGAGTCCTGGTCACAGATAGAGAGGGTATCTTTTGTGA